CAACTTTTAGGGGTTTTTTGGTTGTCGTTTTGGTAATTCCTTTAGAATATTTGCAGAAATAAAAAAGATTCACAGGAAAAACCCCTATTATGGGACTAGGGCTTTTCTTGGTGCAACACCAACATGTTTGATCTCAAATTTTCCTCCTACGTTTATAATTGGAAGGGGGGAGGGGGAGGACCATGATACTCAAGCATGGGTGGCCCAGTCTGACATGAACACACTTGTCCCAACTGAGTTATGGCTCTTCTAAAGATGGTTTAGGATGCGCACAGTTTGAAGGTGTAGACACTAAATGAATCATTTAAAATTCAAGAACCTACGGTTCTAATCACTTTGAGGCAGGAATTCTGCACAGTGGTTTGTCTGAGGTGGTTGTTTGATCTTTCACTTAGTCCTTCATTGGCCATTGTTCCATGCACCTTGTATGTTAGTGTGACATTTCTGTAATAACTTAAAATAAGTTATAGCCCTTGGATTTAGAGTCTGTAATTATGGAGGGGCCAACAAGCTGTGTTAAGACTGAGCTGAGCTTTTGACAAAAAAACGGGGATTCTATCTCTTTGATATGTGTGCAAAATACAAGTGTCCTCCACAAACAATACAAAATAAATTGTCAGTGAATTTATGAGGAAAGCTGCTAATTAGCCTGAGTTGCAATTAATTTTAAAATGGGTCATTTAGGTATCTAGCAGTCTGTGTTAGATCCTTCCCCCCAAATGATTTGAATAATAGAATAACTAAAATATATTCCATTATTTTCACAAACACACTATTTCAGCCATCTACAAAAGCTTTTGGAAGCAATTGGGATTTAACAAAATAATTAAAGCACATTCTTTTGGCAAATCGGGCAGTTGGCACTGACTATAGGTCTGCCAACCTACTAACCGGATGGACCAGATGCCATTTGCAGCAATGACATCCAATCTAGGAGAGTTGGCAACCCTATATAAAAAAGTTAGATCCAAGTTCCACTAAAGCTCAGGCAAAACTCTCATCGACTTGAAGGGGAACACGATCTAACCACATGTTTTTCCTTGTAGTTAGTCTGATGTGTATGGAGATATAGGTTCCATACTGGAAAGCAATTTCATTTCATAATGAAGCCTCAGGGAAGAGAGCGGGAGTGATTAATACCTTGTGACAGAATAATTGGCAGGAGTTAATAGTTGTATTGCCCTTTTAATTGAAGTAAAAAGCAGTGTTACCCAATAGACATAGGCCAGATAATCAGCTACTGTAAATGAGCATTGTTCCAATATATATATATATATATATCAACAGCGCTATGCCAGTTTGCATCAACTAAGAATATGGCCCACCTATTCTGAACATCTGTAGTCTTGTAGCAATGATTGTAACAATAATGGTCTTAGAGAAGGGTGCTGTTTTGTCAAGAAGTAGTAAAAGTTAACAGTGGCATTCATCAGTAAGGCTATGTGTACACAGTGTTATTTCGGAATAACATCGTCTGCATCTACATTACAAGCAGTTATTTTGACAGAATGTTGAAATAATGCCGAGCTGGAGGACTTCTTACTCCAACTGCTGTAACCCTCATTTTACAAGGAGTAAAGGAAGTCAAAGGAAGAGTATGTTTTTCCTTCAACTTCTTGCTGTGTAGACCGCACCAAAAGCTGAAATAAGCTATTTCGACTTAAACTACGAAATTGATATAGCTGAAGTTGTGTAGCTTATTCCGACTTTAGCCCTACTGTGTAGACGTACCCAAAGAGAGAGAGAGAAAACATGTAAAGGAAGAGAAGCCAGGGGCATTGGCATAAATATATGGATCTGTATAGACTGGTTATGAAGCAGTGATGAATTTTCCAAGTGCCCTTTGAAGGAATTGGAAGTATTCTTTAAAGGTGAAATTCAGTCTCCACCTGCACAAAGTTTGAGCAAACTTTGCAGGGCTTAGAGCAGATGAAATGCACCTCCTTCCTCTGTACCCCATGCTGCTTGCTCTGTATGTGGATCCAATATCCCTTCTCCCAACCTCTTGACAAGTACTATATCAACAATAGTCTGTTCCCTTGAAACAGGGAGTCTGTCAAGGAATGTGTAACCATCTTGGGGTTCATTAGATAGCACAACAGAGAATGGGAAAGGAATAAAACTTCAATAAAACTATTGGAGAGTATCTCTGGTGACTGGCTGCACATAGTAATGCAGTGTTCCCAACCCTCACCTCCAAGACTCATCTCCAAATTCCCATGCTCATAATACTATCCCTTATAAGGGATTGTCTCTAAATCATAGTGTTCTGCAAGCATATCTCTATGGAGCCCACTTCCCAAAGCATCCCAGTTATGGTGATTCCCCTGTTAGGGAGAGGCAATCAAAAGGTTCAGTGGACAGTAATGTGAACAAGTCCTCTTTCTTCTGGACAGATTTTCCCTGATACTGTATAAAGTTCATTGTGTGAACAATAAAGATAAGACCCAAGTGACTGTGCTCAACTGCTTTCAAGCCTGAAATTTCTCATTTTGAAACTGTGCCCTTCTCACACCTCAACACAAAATGCTGCGTTAAGTGAGATGCATTATGTCAATATTCCACACAGATGCCATGATTTCTAAAGCTCAAAGGCACCGTGACTTCACTATTTTCGTCAATCACTCAGTCTGTCATTAAAAGCACTGGAAAGCAAAACTCACTTGGGCAGTGTTTGTGATTAATATGAAAAACTTTAACATTCCATGTGCCATTACTCCTGCACACGGGAGCAGAAGGGGTAGCATGTCAATAAAGTCTGCTGCAACTCAACCACTGAAGTCACCATTGGCATTGCAGCAAAGGTATGCCCAGGACACAAGTACAGCAATATCCCAGAAGATGTTTTTGTGCATGAATATATTAGCTTAAGCAGAGCAGAGATTTAGTTGGCAAACTATAATTTTATCAGTGACACCATCAGGGTTACAGTATGATTATGTTTCAAGCTTACATTTGCATTCCAGAATAAGTAACATTTTCTTCAAAAAGATGTGTGGGTGGTTTGAATAGGGCAAAAGCTATTACAGTCTTTTTGTTCCTCTTCCTTCTCAGCATAGCTTGGGGCTGGATTTAGCAGGCATTAATGTTTCATAGTTGGTTTGTATTTGAACGGAAATAAGGTACGAAGAAAATTCTGAACATTGGATCTGTTCCTCAATTTGTGTAAATAAAGATAGCTCAATTTGAGACAATGAAATCAATGAAAGTATGTGAATTTACCCTAAGTTTTGACTCGTTACTGCTTCCAGTTCATTTGAGGGATAAGACTAACACAAAACTAATTGACTCCATTCTGCCAGTTTGATGCTAATATAAATTAAGTGGAATGAAAAATCACACATCCACACTTTTTAGCAATTTATAGTTTCTTTGGGAACAATATGAGAAAAGATGCATGCAAAAGCAAAACAAAGCTGCTGCCTGGCAGACAGAATTTGAAGTTCTATGTGATTATTTTCTGGAAGATAGTTCTCTTTCTTTCTGAATATTGAAAATTAGCCCTGTGCCATTGAGAATTATTATCAGACCTTCATTATCTCCTCTCCATATTTCAGTTTGTTTGTTTTGATTCAATTAGTATCATTCTTAAAGATACAGAAAAGGACTGAGTGAAGCTGTAGGCAGCATTCTCATGCCTTCAGTCAGGATTTTAGATGGCTATTTTGTAGTTAGTTAGATACTGTTAGTCTGCTAGGTCTGTTTAGAAAAAAAAGTTACTAAGTATACAGTACAGGGCATAGCTGATCCCTCATCAAGTTTGACCTTGTCCTGGGCTGGATCACTTGGGGTGGTGCAGGGAGAAGCAGTGCTCTATTGAGCCCTTTAACACCCCAGGATTGGAGAGATTTGCCTCTCCAAGTGACAGAAATTGATAAGACTCAAACCAACAGGATTATATATAAACTACTACTGAGCCCTGTATAGAGAATGATTTCATTACTGGAGAGGTGGGTTGGTTTATTAGTAATCATCCTCAGTGACTCTAAAGCAGAGCTATAATTCTGTAGGATGGCCCTAAAACTATAAAAAGCTTGTTATTTTCTTCTCAAATTCTATAGGAATTCTCCATAAGTGACTGAGGGGAGCTGATGATGATCCTACTGTTAGCCAGTGCTGTTGGTTGGATCCATAGAAGGCCAATCAGCCACGGATGCCTTGGTGTTCCTCCTTCCTGACCAATATGGTCAGTTCTGGGAGGTTGTACTAGTTCTCTGCCAGGCTTCAGGGGAGACTGCAGAACGAATTAGACTGATTAGCAAAAGAAAACACTAGTTTTTACTAATCTGGCTGCTATCACTGCAGTATTTGAGCACCTCACCATTGTTAGCATACTTTTCCCTCCTGGCATCCTTGTGAAGGAGGAAAGTAGTCTCATTTCCATTTTCCTGTTGGAGTACTGAGGGACTGCAAGACTGGGGACAGATTTGCAAAGGTATTTGGGTGCCTAAACATGCAGATAGGTTGTCTAGTGGAATTTGGAAAAAAAATGGGAGTTAGCCACTCTTATGCTTATGCACCTAACTGTGCGTAAATACCTTTTAAAAATATCCACAGATGGCTTCTCCAAGGTCATAAGTTTGAAGTGGAGCAGTGAATTGAACCCAGGTTCAGATTTATTCATGATTCCTTGTGGTAGGTTGGGCCAAGATACCGTATTGTCTACCTTAACCATTCTGTATAGCTTTTCAAGAGCTTTAAAATGCAGTGATGCGGTTGTGCAGTGGGGAATGGAAAAGGCCAAGTGACTATGTGAATGATTTATAACTCCTTGAGACTGACTGTTGTGAAAATGAAATCCTGTGGGTAGAACACTGGGTTGCACCTCATCAGGTGAGCACACAAATAGAGATATGCTTTATATGATTTTATTTTTAAGTTGAGCAAGTAATTTATTCAAAGTGGGGGTGGAAATGGGGGTGGTTGGAAAGCCAAAAGGGAGAACTGGTTCTGCTGCTGTACTCATGATTTCCTTTTTTTTTTTTCTTTCTTTCTTTCAGTGAGTATGTTTTTGAACACATTAACCCCCAAGTTCTATGTTGCCCTGACAGGCACGTCTTCATTAATCTCAGGTCTTATTTTGGTAAGTACTATATACATTCTTTTCATTTAACACATTATTTGTTATCTACAGTATGATGGACACTGTGTTATGATTTGTAGGGGCAATATTTGGATCTGTCTTTCATTCCTTATTTATGTTTGTGCAGTTCATGGAATTCATAGTATTTTTTTCTAAAATAAAAGCTTCCGTGTCCTTTCTTTTTAAGGCAAGAATAACTGCCAGCAGTCCAGCACAAATGAGCAATCCTCTAATATCTCAAAAAAGAGTTTTCATGTCAAGGGTTGCTATAAACAACTATTTCAAAAATAAAAGCATCCTTTAGAAAGGAGAGAGAGATTCAAAGGCTTTTGATTTGTTCTTTTTAGACGATTAAGATTGATGATGGCCACGGTAGAAGTATCTCATTAAAAAGTGGTAAGGAACCCAATTTCATTGTCTGGTTTCCAAGTGGCAATTATTAAAATGGAAACATTTTAAAATATCTAAAGTTTATATAGATTTATATTTATATGAAAATTATATTTAAGTATTACATTTATATATATTTCAAAATATACATTCTCTTTTAAAACTTTTGACCTTGGTTCTGCAAGCATATGTTCGGCTCGACCTTAACACCAGCCTAGTTCTAAGTTTCCAGACTACTGCATCTGTTCACAGGAACTCAACCTTATTGACCGCATTCACAGAAACAGTATGACAAGTGTTGAATCCATATAGTTGTTATTACACTGTTTTTCAACCTTGATGCTGGGAGCTAGTTTGTTACTTGAACAAACAAGGGTTGTCTTATATTTTTATTTCTGTGTCGTCATTGTCAAGTTCTTTCTATATAAATAAATCTTACTCCTTTATAGCTTGTGATTACTACAATTACATTCTCTCCATATGCAGAGTGCTTACAGGAATGCTCTGCATTACAGCAATAATATGAAACAGTTATTATGATCTCTTTGTCTCTCCTCATGCGACATTGCTCTGTGCAACTGTAGGGGCATAAAATGCAGTAAAATAACAATGCAAAAATACTATTACGTGAACTGATATAATGCCTTTTAACCATAAGAAAGTTTGGATTCTGAGCTGAATGTTATATTTTGAGCCCTTCTGTAGGAGAAATGGAATTCAAGATGTTTACATAGCATTTCCACCATCTCATCCTCATTCTTCCCCAGCTTGTCACTGCCTGTTTCATGGTGAACCAGCAGAGCTCAGGTTAAACACAGGTGCACTACAGCTGTTCAAAGAGCTGCCTTGTCTGAGTGTTTACAAGCAACTGAAGACAATTAGTTAATGACTGCATCTTGGGCATTCTTCAGAACTGCCTGAGCTAAGCCCCAAAGCACAACACAGCTCTTTAGAGTTTAGAGAAATCACTTAGGAAGTGAATGGAGAGGATCAAATCAGGTGTTAGCTACTGCGTCTCCTTTGAGAAGAATACATTCCAAGGGAGATTTTGTATGTTCAAGTCAATACACTTGGAGGATAAAAATGCTAACTGCCACTAGCTAGCAGGGCCAAGAATGATGGGCTTCACTGGCAGAGACCTGTGCTTGGTAGAAAGAGGAATACATGTCTGGCATGTGAAATGTTGGGGAGTGATGAATGAGAGGCAGCAAAAAGGAAAAGAAGCATTAGACAGAACCAGAGACATATGCAGGTCTCTAAGGTAGTGCTGGAACATAGGCACGGGTCACAGGTGGTGGGAGAGAAGTCTATTTATCTATGACTCACCAAGAGACACTGTAGTTACAGCAGAATCAGAGTCTCTGGCATATTTTTTCGTTTTGTTTTACGAAGATCAGACTAACACGGCTACCTCTCTATTACTATTTAATTGTCTGGTGATTTATCACAGCCCTGCTTGCATGAGAAACACCTGAGATCAGTAAATTGATTAGACAAGTGGAAACCAAGGAGCCAACATTATAGAGAAGCTATGACTGTGATGAGGGGAACATGTGGCTAATGAACTGGGTGGTAGAAATTCAGCAGAGGAAAGCTGTTGTAAAAGTGACTTGTGATCACTCAAGACAGCAGTGAGAAGCTGCGATGAGGTAGTACTAGGAGACCACTGATCCATTTAGCTTGGTACCGTAACTTTACCTTTTCTAACTTATATACCAGTTCTAACAGGAGGCCCTTCAATATGATGAACTATCACCAATCATAATAAAATATTTCACAGTGACTGCAATTTCAGAACACTCATTCTTAGCATTAAAAATGAAAATCTTTAAAAGCAGTTTTAATGATTAAATAAATACAAATTAAAAAAAATTAAAAATAAAAATGTTTTCTAAAACAAGTATTCTCTTATCATATCTAAGTTACTGTGATTTGTCATGATCATTGTTCTAATGTCCTTTGGAATTTTCCACCATATGGTCTTTTCTTCTCCCCACTGTGAATTGGCTGTATTTACTAAGCAGAAGGAGAAATCACAGCTACTGCAGAATTTTAGAATAAAAGGGGCAAGTCGATAGTACAGAAGACACCTCATTCAACTCTTATTTGTGTAATTGCCGATATACAGCAATGACTCTGGTGGTGCTGAGCTTTGCAGAGTTGCTATATGCTAATCTCAGGTTGCTCACACATAACATGGTTCTTTTCCCCCTCTCATTTTGCTTCTCTTTTTCCTCTGATTCCTTGGGTGAAATTCTGGATACTCTGAAGTGCAAGTGTGCTTTGGCTGTGACTCCAGCAGAGCTAAGATTTCATCACTTTTTAATGGTCTGCATAGCAGAAGACTACTTTATTTTTGTTGCAACCAGCCTCGTCGTTAGTGGTCTATGTTACATAATTTAGAACTCAGCGGGACAAATTAAAACCATCCCTGTCTCTTCACTTACAACCCATTCATGGGATAAAATCAAGGCCTAAATAAAGATCCTAACAGAACCACAAATACGGGCATGGCAGGGAACTTGAGATCAACCGAGTTGTCCCCCAGCTTGGTTCCAATTCAGTGTGGACTGGACCTCAGCTGTTTTTGGTTACCAGGCCAAAGATGGGTTTCCATTGAGAAAGTGCTTTGAGGCTGTGCCTGTTTATGAAAAAGAGTCCAGTAAACTCTCCAAACCTGAAGCCGTTCTGGGGAGCGTTATCCATCAACCACGTTCTCTGACATGGTTGTATTTGTAGCGTACCCATGGCCCCAGAGAGAGTCTTGGTGAACAACTGCATCTTGCACAGCCTAAAAGTGTTTAAACTTCAGTTCTGATAAACTAGGGGAGGGAATGAATGCCAGGGTCTCAGACCCTTCACCAAGAATGTTCTGTCGCTCTCCCTCTGGAGCTCAGTGACAAGGACAGACGGTAAGAGCGTTCTGGCACAATTCAACTGATGCAATGATTGCAGGCAAGAGTTAGATTCTGAATGGCCTTGCAATCAACACCTGGAATTGCACTAGAAAATAAATGGGGAATCAGTGCAAGCCACAGCGCATACCTGTTGAGTTCACAATGTCCTGACTCACTTAAGATCTGTGCAGTTGCATTCGCTGAACCTTTAAAGCAGAGTGTTGGAGAGCATCAGACTTTTGATACTTTTGGTACGCTGGTACAGGAAGTCATTAGAAAGAGATTGTGAAGCCAGCAGGAGGTATTCATGAATGTTCATGAATATGATGCTTAACTCTGCTGGCTAACTATCATACTATCTACTACATGGGTGCAAAGAGTTAACTCACTCCTAGATGGTTGTTTGTGGGAAGACAGACAATGGCTGTTGATAGCCCAGTTGCTGATGCTTAACAAATAATACAGACTGTATGAAGTGTTGTTGTAGCCCTATGGATCCTGGGCTATTAGACTATGTACACACTGTATGTGGGTATATGTTTTGTTGCTCAGAGATATGAATACGCCACGCCCTTGAGTGATGTAAGTTACACTGGACTAAACGACTGTGTGGACAGCACTATGTCCCACCAACATAGCTACCATATTTACAGGGGCTGGAATAATGAAACGGATGAAAGTGCTCTCTTCCATCAGTTAGAGCATTTGCATTGATGCAGCTGCACCGCTGCAAGCTTTGTAGAGTAACAATAGCCTTAGCGAGAAAGGTGGGTGAGGTAGTAGTGTTTTTCATTGGACCAACTTCTGTTGGTGAGACAAACATCCAAGTTACTTTGTCCCTTAAACACTACAGATGTCTCTTGCTTTTGGAGCTGTATCCCCATCTCATTTTGAACAACAGGCTGGTTGATAATGGGGGTAGAGCAAGGGGAGGAAATCTAAGCAGGGAATCCTTAAACAAAGAACTTGGAAACTGATAAAATCCCCAGTTCTGAAAAGGAAGAGAGGCAAATTGTAGCTGCTCATGGGGATACCAGGACTAAGTTAGGCCTAAGTCTTGAGAGAGATGTTAATATTAAGTAGGACTGTTGATTTTGTAAACAAAGTCCTTTTATTATTTTAGTCTTTTTATCTCTGACAGTAATGTTCCTATGGTCCAATAAATGGGGTTGCTTGGAACAAGCTGCAGTGTGGCATAGCGAGGGTGTTATGTACCCGGGGGCAAAGGAGATACCAGGACTAAGTTAGGCCTAAGTCTTGAGAGAGATGTTAATATTAAGTAGGACTGTTGATTTTGTAAACAAAGTCCTTTTATTATTTTAGTCTTTTTATCTCTGACAGTAATGTTCCTATGGTCCAATAAATGGGGTTGCTTGGAACAAGCTGCAGTGTGGCATAGCGAGGGTGTTATGTACCCGGGGGCAAAGGAAAAATCTGCGCTTTTAAGTCTTATTGAAAGTCATTGAGGCCAGGGTGGTGTTTTTATAATGTATACAGTGCTTAATGTATGCCAGGGCTTGCACCCCTAGACTTGGCAAGTCATAGCCTTGGTACCTCTGGGCTTGCCATCCCCTTTCTGAAAGTAAAAATAAATTGTTTGAGCACTAGCAGATAATTGCTTGAGCCCCAGCACTTTTTTTCACTACAATTTAAGCACTGAAAGTAGCCCTACTACTCACTGCTTTTGGTGTCATGCATACATCCAGTGTTTGTGTGGGTTAAAAGTGACTTGTAAAGCTGGATAGTTATTTTAAAAATAAGTTACAGTAAAACTCCATTAGTCCGGCATCCAATGCTCCAGGACTCCTGATGGTCCGGCACCATCAGGAACCCGGAAGTGCTGGGGCAGCCGGACTGGAACTGACCAGCAGCTGAATCGGGGAAGCCGGGAGCAGAGCAGCTGGGGTGCTGCCGGGTTGGTCTGGTAGTGCTGCCCCTCGGGGCTGCGGGACCAACCCGGCAGCACCCCAGCTGCTCTTGGGGACGCCTGGGGCAGAGCAGCTGGAGTGCTGCCGGGTTGGTCCCGCAACGCCGAGGGGCGGCGCTACAAGACCAACCCGGCAGCACCCCAGCTGCTCTTGGGGACGCCTGGGGCAGAGCAGCTGGAGTGCTGCCGGGTTGGTCCCGCAACGCCGAGGGGCGGCGCTACAAGACCAACCCGGCAGCACCCCAGCTGCTCTTGGGGACGCCTGGGGCAGAGCAGCTGGAGTGCTGCCGGGTTGGTCCCGCAACGCCGAGGGGCGGCGCTACAAGACCAACCCGGCAGCACCCCAGCTGCTCTTGGGGACGCCTGGGGCAGAGCAGCTGGAGTGCTGCCGGGTTGGTCCCGCAACGCCGAGGGGCGGCGCTACAAGACCAACCCGGCAGCACCCCAGCTGCTCTTGGGGACGCCTGGGGCAGAGCAGCTGGAGTGCTGCCGGGTTGGTCCCGCAACGCCGAGGGGCGGCGCTACAAGACCAACCCGGCAGCACCCCAGCTGCTCTATTGCAGGCATCCCCGATTCAGCTGCTGCTGAAACTGACCAGCAGTGGCTGAATCAGGGACTCCTGGGGCAGAGCCTGACTATCGTAAGGGGGGGCTATGAGGGGTCTGGGGTGGCATCCCCTCCCACCCCACTCCAGACCCCTCATAGCCCCCCCTTCTGATAGTCCGGCATATCTGATAATCCGGCACCCCCTGGGTCCTAAAGGTGCCGGATTATCGGAAGTTTACTGTATCTTTAATAATAACAGAGATTTATTTAGGAGTTTCTTTAAAAAGTGTCTTTTTAGAAGAGACTATTTGAAAATCAATTCCTCCTCACCTCACCTGCTAAGTCCAGACCCCTCATAGCCCCCCCTTCTGATAGTCCGGCATATCTGATAATCCGGCACCCCCTGGGTCCTAAAGGTGCCGGATTATCGGAAGTTTACTGTATCTTTAATAATAACAGAGATTTATTTAGGAGTTTCTTTAAAAAGTGTCTTTTTAGAAGAGACTATTTGAAAATCAATTCCTCCTCACCTCACCTGCTAAGATCAGGTAAACAGCTCCCTGTTCTGGTTTAGGTGTTTCATTAGCAGGTGGAGGGGCACAAACACACATGAACCACAGAACAGGCACACGAGAAAAGGAGACAATGAACAAATGTAATAAAGAGATGAGCGAAGAATTACAAATAATAGGCCTGATCCTAGACTGCCTCCACAGAGCCTCAGGAGGATTGGAGGAAAGGTACCTCCCATTTCATCTCTGATCCTTGGTTTCAGTGGGGGTTAGGGATGAGACGGTGTAGGAGCTGCTTATGGCATCTCTAGGGGCATGTCTACACGACAAAGATTGACCCTCCGGAGGTTGATTGTCTAGTGTTCAATTTAGGGGGTTTAGAGTCCAGTAGAGTGACATCACTTACTGCATGGAAATAGTGGCGCTCCATTTCCCTATGAGGACACTTGAGGATTGGGAGAAGAAGCATTTCTTATCTGACATGTGAAGGACTCTGCTGTGGTGAAGAGGAAGCAACTCAGTACCATAATGACCTGAAGGATTAGTTGTAGGAAATGATGTGGGGTCTGAGGTGAGAGGACTGACTTCTGGAAGTAGACAGTGGCTTGGGAGGGAAGGTGTTAAATTAATCTGAACTACCATGTAGCGCTTGACCCTCCCTGCAGAAACTGATTTAGTGCCAGCCTTTGTGACCAGAACCTGCAGGTTGGCTGGTACGTCATTTTGAACTTAGCCCTGCAGATTTTCAGTAAATCCACTTACTAATTCCTCGGGGGAAAATATAGATTAATAATGGGCTGATGTTTTGTACAGGGCTACGTAAGCAGTTTCAGGTATTGGAAAGGACTGTACTCAGAAATACGGAAACACTACAAAAAAAAAAAAAAAAGAGAGAGACAGACAGAGAAAGAGAAAGGCCATTCATGCACAGTTTCCAACCTAATCAATATCAGGAAGTACTGCAAATTTTTCAAGAACCCTTTACTTGAGTCATCTTCTGCCTTTTACCGTACTGAAGTTTGCTTTTATTCCAATATTACCTCAAAACCTTCTGAGACTATCTCATTACTAATGTGTGTGTTTATCATATGTTCAATCAGAAAGAATTTTTACATTTATCTTCATTTTCAGAGCTGATTTTATGGTTCCTGCAATACATGCACCACTGCCCTCCAAATAAAATTTGTATTTTCATTATGGAAGTATCAGAAATATATGTTTGTGTACATATAATTGTCCTGACAATAAAATGTATTAGTTGGAGGTCTGATCTCCCAAAGAAAAACTACTGGTGATTATAATACAGGGATCAGTCCAGCAGCACAGGGGATGCATTAGTGGTTCTGTAAATATGAGTGGGGAGGGAGATATTGATTGGATAGTGGAAAAACCAGAGTCTCATTATTTTCATCCCTTTCCTTTTATGGTTTCTGAGAAATGCTGAGTGATAAATAAGAAATGTTAAGAATGGATAAATAAATGCTAATAAATGTAAAGTAAAATCTAAATAGATGCAAGGGCATTAATCATACACATTAGATTCCTTGGAGAACAGACATAAAATTTGCACTGGTAATGTGATATTGTCTGCTTCTGTTCTAGATATTTGAGTGGTGGTATTTTCGCAAGTATGGGACATCATTCATTGAGCAGGTCTCCGTGAGTCACTTGCGCCCTCTGCTGGGTGGGGTGGACAATAACTCCCCCAACAACTCTAACACAAGCAATGGGGACTCTGATTCAAATCGACAGAGTGTTTCAGGTAAGCGTATTCCTGTCTGCTGCAAACAATTAACTGTCAGCATCACTCTTCTCTCTTTCTTCCCTCCCCCCCCCCAATTTAACTAAGCAGTTGGTGGCTTTTTACTATGTTTCAACTGCAGAGAGAGGATAAAATATCCCCTTTGCTCACACAACATGGTATTCGCTGGACATTGGTTTTAAATCTTCACTTTACATTTTAATTGGTCTGCCTTCTTTGTATTCAGAAATTAAATCATAGATCATTCATATATAAATACTGTTTATTAATGCTATAAGCCTGTTCCCAGGAAAAGCAAAGTGAAAACTAGCTGTATATAAAGACATGTTGGTTTTATTTGTTTGGTATGGTTTGGAATTTACATTGGATGAAAATTTGTGTAAAATAATATGAAAAGAACTGCAGATCACTTGGTATGGTCAAAAGTCAAAACATGAGTTTTTACAATTCAGATGTCTTGAAGTCAGTTCATAAGGAGAAAAGCAGAACTGTTGTTTCTGTACGGAGTTTATCCAAGGCGAAAGAAATATCTGTTTCTAGTAGTGATTAAGGTCCTGATACTGTAAAGAATTACTCACATGTATAGAGATAGACATGTACCTAAGTATTTGCAGGATCAAGGCCTAAGAAGATGATGCCTGAAAGCCAAATTACGTCCACATCTAATTAGCAACATAGCGAAATTAGGAGAAGTAAAACATTCCTACAGATATTCTCTCTCTCTCTCCATCTCCCTGAAGGTATAGATATGGAGGTGTAAGCCAGAGCTTTATACCTAGCATGAAATGTTGACCTTACTGAAGTCTGTATTCTCATTGAAATCAATAAAACCAGGATTTCAAATCCAATAGATGATTGGAGAACATATTGGAATGGGGGTAACAATCTGCTGCTTGTTTGGACCAGTCCCAGACTGGAGAGAAATTGTACCTCCCAGGGGTACTGCAAAAATGGTGCAAACTATGTGCCCCCCTTAGATAGGGCAGGTTGTAAAGCACAATCTTACCTTCAATCATGACCACATAAGACTAACTGTAAAATTGTCTTGTTTTCAAATAAAAAATTGACTAATTGCTCAGAGGTAATTATGTCTTTCTAAAAGCTGATTGCTTGGATTGTATTAGAATAAACAAAAGACAGACATTTCCCCTGAACTTCAGAAGTTTCTTAGAAGTGACACCCATTCTTTTTACGTTACAGTTGTAAAAGGCAAAGCAGTTCTTTGTTCTTTTTCAGAAATACTTGGTTTAATGAGTCCATTATCAGGAAAATCACAGAAAGGTCTCAAGCGTATCCATCTGCTTTTGCAGTGTATTCTTTTTACCTTATTGTGAACAGTTCATAAGCACCATTTGCTTTTCATTTTAGTAAGTAGCAGCACTGTGGTTTGCAATAATTTAGAGACTGGTTCTGTTCCTGACTTTGGCATTGATTTGCTGTGTGATTTTTAGGCAAGTCATATGCAGCTAGATTTTTGAAAGAGGCCTCTGGTTTTTTATGCTTCATGTGGGATGCCTCGGGCCTGGTTTTTTGAGGTGCTCAGTATGACAGCTCCCATTAATTCAAAGGGAGTTCTGAGTGCTGTACATAAAATCCTTGGTGTCTTAGGATCCAGAAACTGAGATTCTCAAATTCAGTGTTTACTTCCGACAATTGGCCTTAATTGTGTTGTGTGTCTCTAATAAGAGCTGTATTATCTTTCTGTATCCTGGTCATTTCTGACGCACATTGAGATGCTTGCATGAAAGGTGAAGACATGAAATTGATTTGATTGATTGATTTTTTTGATTGTGGACACGTGTTTATGTGCCCTGTGTTCATATGAAGACAGTATTAGCACATAAGAAATAGTCCTAAAATGTGGTGATGAAAAGGAGGGTTGTGTTGTGGTGATGGCACTGGATTTGAATTTAGAGATTTGGGGTCCAGTTTGTGGCTCTATCACAGTCTTCTGTTGTGTGCAGATCACCTAAAGGCTGATTTCCAGATGTGTTCAGCACCTACAGCTACTATTGTAGGGTCTTGATCTCTCTGTGCTTCATTTTCTCATCTGTAAAATGGGGATGATAGAACTTGCCTATTTTGTGGGAGTGTTCTGAGGATTAATGCCTTATTGCTTCCCATGTGCATGGATACTCCTGTGAAAGGAGCCACATAGGTATATAGATAGGACACCAGAGGGTAGGAGGAAATATATTCTCTTTCTTAGAGATTGTTGAGGAATCAGATCTTACAGAAATGAGAATGTGGTCTATGCTTCTGTAGGTTCAACAAAATCCATGTCTCTTTCTCCCAGTTTATATTTTCATTTAGATAACGTGTGACGTTTCAAGAAGTGTAACTGCTTTTTAAGAAAACCGAAGACCCCTTTACGCACATGTAACTGTTGTGACCTCGTCTTGCTGTTCAGCACCTATACACTAGGCCTTGTCCACACTGGCAGTGTCATGTAGGGTACAGGCACTACACATGTAGCAGCATGCCACAAAGACAAGCAGACTGTGTCCACACTGTGATTTGTAGCTGTGCATCCGTGAAAGTCTCTAGCAGTGGGGAGGCAGCATGGAAAGTATTGGATGGACAGTAATCTGTTGTTCTCCATGTCCACTGAAAGTAGGGTTAACCAGCAGCAACAAAAATTTCAGCTTAATCTGCAGCAAGGGAGATTTTGGTCTGATATTCTAGTTGTAAGGGCAGTTAAGTTCTGGAATAGGCAGTTAAGGGACGGTTTGGAAACCATTGGAAGTTTTAAAAAACAGGCTGGACAAATACCTGCCATGGATGGTCTAGTTTATTTGGTTTTGCCTCATTTTAGGAATGTGGACTTGATGACCTCTCAAGATCCCTTCTACTCTATATTGCTATGATTCTGTGACTGTGCATTAGATCCTGACTTCCTTAATAATGCTATCATATAATCCTTCCGGATCACTGCACGGCGATGATACCCTGTGAAATAAATCAGTACTCCCAACTTCACTGTAGAGTGAGAGCCTGAAAAGACAGAATACTCTTCAGTGAGACCTCGCTAGTTATTTAGTAATTGGGACAATACTGTGATCTGTCAATATCCAGTTATACAATGTGCTTTCCAGGATATTGTAAATCAAAATAGAGATATTCACTCCTCATTTCTAAATATAAATGGCTCACGATGTCTGTTTTATGTTGGATTCCCCTCTGATTTCTTATGCCGGCATTTGTTTATTGGAGTGTAACAGATATCCGTCATCAAACTACTATGAGTATGGCAATTCTATTCAGCCTCTGTTATGAGGTGATGCAAAGATAGAAACAAAAGGGAACATCTTACATAACCCGCCAAACTGGTGCTCAGCTGCTCCCAGATGGGGCAGATTAGAAAGGAGGTAAAACACCTTTTCCCCCCTCTTGGACTATCCCAACCAGGTGTTCTGACTTATGCACCCAGTGATGTAGTCCAATAACTTTAAAGTTAAGCAATCAAGCAGAAAGAATGACATCACAGTCATCAAGCCAATGTTAACTGCTGTATTGCAATCAGAGTAACAGGACCATTTAATTATTCTTCAGGGACTGAGATGCCTGATTTTATCTTAATTCTTACTATGATTTGAAAAATTATATTTTGTATTAATCACTGGAGACAAGCATGGCAAACAGTCACCCTCTCCAGCCATACTTTAAGGTGTCTGGAAACTGATCAAGCACCTCTGCTGCTGCAGGAGTATGGGCTTCTGACCTTAGCTCGCTGCTGTAATGATTTAGACTACAATGAATAATGAATTCTTATAGGGTTGTCTTCATTGTAGCAAGTTACAGTGTTTTGCTAACAGAATGTAATATTGAGGTGAGAATTTTATTACAATAAAATCTTTCCTTACAAGTGATGTAATCTAAGAAGAGTCTGTTTTGGACTAAAATATAGTAGAACTCCTCCCTTCCATCACCACAGGCCAAATTCAAGCTCAGATGCTTCTGCAAGGTAGAACCACAGTTGAGGATAATGTGGCTCAGATGGGCTCAGGGCTGGAGAGGACCTACCTCTCTCCTGAGGGAGCAGTGATAGAAATGTAGCCGTGTTAGTCTGGTGTAGCTGAAACAAAATACAGGACCATGTAGCACTTTAAAGACTAACAAGATGGTTTATTAGATGATGAGCTTTCACGGGGGGGTTAAATTTGTAGGGACTTCATCCAAAACAAAAAACACATAAGGACTCCCTGGCAGCCATTCCCTTTTGCTGCCTAGGTGAGACTAGTCTTCTGGTCTGACTGAGCTCTACTCAGCACAGAAACCAGAGGGATGGAAGGGTAATGGCAAATGTAGTCATGTAACACCTTGGTGTGCCCTGACATTGCTTGGTGGAAAGGTAGCTTAAAAGGCCAGTATGAAGCAGCTTCTGGACCATTCTAAGTTACCGTACAGTTCAAGCCAGCCTCGGGGGGTGCAAAGGCGATTTTCAAGGCTGCTCTAAGTTACACCTCTCTGTTTTAAAACATAAATATTTCATTAAATGTACATATATTTTATGAGTTTTAAAATACCTGTTACAAAAACAGAGCAACAATAATTACATTAATTCCAGGTCAGGAGACCAGAAATATCCAACACCTCTTACATACTCAAGTAACAGCTCACTTCCCTTTGTTTGGCTTTCTGTCTCTGATCTCCATTCCATAACCTCTTCTGGCAATGATGTAATTGCAGTGATTTACCTAGATGCCTTACCTGCCTGAAACAAGACAACTTGTGGCTAATAACTCATTGGTAACAAAACAGGAGGAAGGTAAAAAGGGGTCTCCCACAACTACGTTTTTCTCCACCCGTGTTTTTGCTCCCTCTAAGCTCCTACCGTTTGCCACATCACTAAGCCTTACACATATGTTTTGCCATTAGGAGCTGATCCTGGGAGCTGTTGACCACCTGCAATTCCATTTCTCAGACTGCCAAAGGAATTGCTGCAAATTTCTGCAGTAGGTTTTCTTTGCCTGCCATTCCAATGCCTCTTCCCACGCAGCCCTGGCCCCTAGCAATGGAGGACATGAAAAAATATCCCTGCTTGACTCTCATGCTCTATATCTATTTCTGATAGTGTGTATGCAATGTTGTTATAGCCCCACCACTCCCAGGATATTAGAGAGACAAGCTGGCTGAGGAAATATCTTTTACTGGACCAGCTTTTATCTGGTCTTTCTCGCCAACAGAAGTTGGACCAGTAAAAGATATTACCTCATCCAGCTTGTCTCTCTAATATCCTTCATCTTGTCTCTCTTTTTCTCATTGTGACAGAATAGGTGACTCTTCATTATGTCTCAGGATCAGGCCTATCTAGAGGTGCCCGTTAGATACCAGGGCAATTTAGCATCATACTTTTTCTGCAGTGAGATCCTGGTGAATTGACATGATGGCATTAGCATTTCATAGCAGAAAATGTTCTGGTTGACATTTGATTGTGATGAAAAGTAGACTGATAACAGGTCATGTTCCAGTAATGCTGGCAAAACAAGGTAGAAGGTTTGCTGTCACTTGCATGATGTGTATTACAACAAATGGTTTGCAGCAAAATTATAAGCTGACAAACAGTGCATTTCTGGATCTTTAGTTGTGAATACTGGGTCTGATTCTGGTCTCACTTTCTTTGGAGTAAATCAGGAGTGCTTCTGTAGAAATCAGCAGAGTTCCACTGGTGTAAAACTTGTGCAAATGAAACCAGGATGACAATTTTGTGTTCGAAAAGCTTTAGGAACTGAATGCTATTAATCTTGTAAACTCTGTTCTAAATGATATTGTTGTTGGGGATTTTCTTATGTGTCCCTGCTGGTGAGATGGATTTGGATATGAATCTGGGCAACTTATAATTTTATTTTATTTTTGTGTAAGAGGAGCAAAACATATGAAACTCTTTTAGTGTTCCCAAGCCTGAGCCATGAACTTTCCACTGCCAATCAATCTTAGCATCCCTTGTCAATCCTGGGGTGGATACAAGTCAAACAAGGTCAGCAGCTGGTGCCACAGATATCTAGGGAGGGGGGTTATTTCAAATGCTGAAGAAAATTAAAGCAGCCAATTGTAGCTGAGATTCTCAGTGATTTACAACAATGACTAGACAATGAAGTTTCCCTTTGGAAATAACAAATCCATGGGGACACAGTTAATTACAGGATTTTTCAACACAATAATCCAAGATATGATCCTCCCCCTCTGCCCCTCACTCATTATGGTAAATGTGAAACCTGGCAGTAATCAGAACAATTGTTCTAATCTTCCATTTGGAGCTTAGTTAGAGGTTGTTTTTTCGAATGCTATAATTTGTTAACCCTAAATTGTAAGAAAATGATTGTTTGAAAGGGATAGAATGGGAAGAAAGATATATTTACCTGTGTCTTCATGGCATTATTTTGCTATTTGGTTGCATGGGAAATAAAAGCAGATACCGTGATAGTTTTCTGATGAATGTCCATATTGAGTTGTAATTTTGAGGAGGTTAATTGATGTATATTTCTGTGTTTCCTTGTGACAGAATGCAAAGTGTGGCGAAATCCATTAAACCTATTTAGAGGAGCTGAGTATAACAGGTAAGTGTCACAGGAGTTTGTTGTGCAGTAGCATAGCCCCAAGAAGCACATAGAGAACAGTCTAAATACCAAGCAAATTACCTTTTCGACAACATTCTCATGCTTCAAGTTTTCAACTTGTGTTTTCTACATGATAAATGTTTTTGAATGGGAAGGGATTTAGCTCCATATCCAAGAGCCCAGTGATTCTGCAGTTTGCTATATTGTTAGAACACCTACAAAATCTAAATTTTTAAAATGTCTAGTACTTCTTAACAATATGGTGGTAGTTCTTTTCAAATTGATAGTAACAGAGTAATCAAGAGGGTTGTAGTTAGCTTCCATGGGTCTTAACTTTTGAATAGGTCTATATTCATTTCCAGTGTGTATTTTTTAAGATGCTGATTAGCCTAAGTCAGTGTTTCTCAATGTGATCCACGAAACCACTTTGAGAAAGCTGCTAACTTTTCATACCAGTTTGTTTATCTAATGACGCCATGGCTGTTGAGCCTCATGGCTCCCATTGGCTCCGGGTCAGCATTTGCTGCCAAGGGGAGCCATGGAAAGCATCATGGGCCAGGCTGCCACTTCCCACGGCTCCTCTTGCCAGCAAATGATGAACTGAAGTCAATGGGAACTGCAAGGCTTCGTGGCCATGGTGCTGGTAAATAAAAACATCAGTGTGCCAGTTAGCAGCTTTCTCAAAGTGGTTTTGTGGACCACTTTGAGAAACACTGGCCTAAGTATAACTATGATAGCTCTTTCAAAGTATAAGACAATGCACTGTAGAGAACAATTATGCATTTGTAGGGAGGTGAAATGGAAGAACCAGTAGATCATGTCCATCTCTCATTTGTAGGATTCCCGTTGAGTGTAGATGTGCTGTATGTGTGTCTTCTTATCCAATCAGTGTCTGACTTTGTTGGCACTTTTGCAGGTATATGTGGGTGACAGGAAGAGAACCTTTGACCTACTATGATATGAATCTTTCAGCGCAGGATCATCAAACGTTCTTTACATGTGACACAGATCATTTACGGCCTGCAGATGCCAGTAAGAAAATGTATTTTTTCTGTGTGTTTAATGAAAGTTTTCAACTGGGGTCAGCAGAAATTTGTCTTCAGGGATCAATTCCCTCAGATACATTAGCAAAGACATATTTCGGTGATACTTCCCTGAGTAAAATATTGGAACTTGTGGAATCAGATTATTAAACACATAATTATGAAATGATTATACTGTCTGCTGCAATGCCAATTGATGCACTGGGTCAAACACAACCCTCATTTACACAGATGCTACAGTCATCTAAATGAAGTAGAACTCAGCCCTATGTTTCACTGACCCATTGAAACTGGAAGCTGTAGGAAGCAATGGAAACTGTTGATAACCTACTTTCATGCAAGAGATTCTAAAACTGTGTTAAATATTTCTTGAAGAATGCATTAGATAATGTGCTTTGTGATGCAAAACAATGACATACAGATCCTGAGCCCCTCCCCCATCGTCTCCCCACCCTATCCCCAGTCCCAGATTCTTACCCAGAGAGGAGTCAGGCTGAAGAGCACCATCCCTATTAGGGGCCAGGCAGATCTGGGAACCCAAAATCCATCCTTTTTCTGCATTTTCATTTCCCCAGGAAGCACCGAAAGCCCAGATTCAATCCTGCCACCTTCCTATAGACCAGAGGTTCCCAGTGCCCACGGACACTGGAAGGATGGCGAAGGGTGTGTTTGTATAAGAGAGAGAGAGAGAGAGAGAGACGGATCAATGGCCTAGGAGGTGCAAGGAGACGCATTCTAATTTGACCCAGCCACCGTTCCATAGTGACAGAAGGGTTGATGGGCCTAATTTATAGATCTGGTCAAGGGCCATAGGGTGGTGGTGGGGGTCAAGGCTCCCAGGACGCCTCACCTTCTTGCACCCTTGTGGGAAGAAGAGGGTCGCCTATGTTTTCTTCTTCCCCGTTAGTCCAACAGTGCAGCTCTGTTCATGAACATGCCCTGCTCCAAATTTAGCTGTAAACATAGGTTTAATTAAATGAAAGATTAACCATAGGAGTTGAGGAGAGCGACTGAAATTGATTGTGTCTTTTGAGTGACTGGCTGAACCTCCTGGTTTGTGAAATGCTCAGCAGTGAGTCAGGCTGAAAGCAATTAATCGAGTTATTGTTGTGCAGTCAATTCTCCTTGCTAATGCTGCTGTGACTGACATGCCACCGTTTTGCTTTATTTTATTGAATAGTAATGCAAAAAGCCTGGCGAGAGAGAAACCCGCAAGCCAGAATTTCTGCAGCACATGAAGCCTTGGAGTTGAACGAGTAAGTGACAATAACATTAGAAATATTTCCTGTCATTTAAAAATCCACTGCATAGTAGCTTAGGGCATTGAGTTTTGCCACAAAGATTTTTATTCATAATTATTTACCTGTTGCAAAAAGACCTGCATACTGGGAGAAAAGCCAAAGCTGTATGTTGTAAGACCTCCGCATTTATAAAAGTGGACCTCATGGGAGGGTAAAAGTGCTGGGAAAAGCTGCAGGAGATAAGTGCCAGGTGCCCACAATGGATTTCCTGATAGCTGGTCATTTCTTTCTTATCTCTTTGTGTGGCATGTCCCCTTTGGCACTTGCTGCTGCAGCAGACAAATGCTGATCTAAAGGCCAATGAGGGGCTTCCTATTGATGTCAGAGAGTTTTGGGTCAGGCCCCTATATTGGCATGTTGAAATATTAAACATGTTACTTCATCATGAATGATGTGTGTATTTGGCAGAGGAGAGGGGGCTCCAGATAGTTCCCTACTGGAATTGGGGATGGAGACAAGAACAAAGGAGCTATTTATTTCATATTGTGTAAAAAAGATGCAAGTCTGTGAGATTTTTATTGCCCATGAGTTCAATATATATTTTCTGTGAAAAATCATAGATTTCTAGGAGACCAGTTCTAGGAGACCAGTTCAGTAACATTTTCTTGGCATGACAAGCTATACAAGTGCTGCAAGTGTATGAAAAGAGAATGATGCTACTCAAGTATCTGCCCTAAGTAGTTTTGCATTCCAAAGTAAAGTAAACTTACTGTCTTAATAATAGTTATTTAATGTTCATTATCAGTAAGGAGGAAAGGAATAGTTAATTCCCAAACAGGAATTTTCTTGCTGACCAGGAGCATGAGTGGTAAAAAATAAGCCTAAATGTGATCTATACAAATGTATATGAAACTACATGTCCAAGAGAATCTATTTTTTTTCCACCCATCTGATGATGGTCTTGTGAACTAGACCTGAAGATTGATGACTCTTTTCTGCCTGTATTAGGCATGTCTTGTGTGTGACTGACACAATGATGTCAGGAACTGATCCGGCTACCCTTACTTATATAAGGCATTACTTTTGTTTTACGGACCGCTTCTATTAGTTTCATTGGGACTATTCCAGTAGTAAAATTTAGAATGTAGAATCTGACCACTTATGTCATCACTTTACACAGATTTATCAAAAAGGAACCTGCACTAAACCCACTGTCTTATATATTTGTTATATCCTTGCCAGTCCTCATGTCTTTGTTTGATAGCTACGGCTGACTGTGCCTTCTCATGAATGATTGTTTTCTGTCATTGATCTCATTGGCAGGTGTGCCACTGCTTATATTCTCTTGGCTGAAGAGGAAGCAACAACTATTGTGGAGGCAGAGAAGCTGTTTAAGCAGGCTCTGAAAGCAGGAGAGGGCTGTTACAGGCGTAGCCAGCAGTTACAGCATCATGGGACTCAGTATGAAGCCCAACACAGTAAGACTCTTTGAAAGATCTAATAAATCTAAAGCTTAAGAGGAGAATTTCTTCAGTGTGCTAGGCATCTTTTTATTCAAGCTTGATGTTCTCCTTTCCCTTGCACTTAGTGTAGCCATTTATATCTCTGTAAAATGAGAGTAGAATGACATTGTGCCATTACACAGGTGTAAGTGAGTACGCAAGGTACAAGGCAATGAAAAAAAGGGAACATTTTAAACAATGGTTGGAATTTGATCTGTGTCTTTATATACTCTTTCATTGTTTTTTGCCTTGTTTTCTCATAATCTCAGCAACAGAATAAGGATATAAGTCATCATTTGTCATCTGACATTTTCTCAGTCACACCTGGAAATGGGCAGCACATACAAGAAAAATCATACTGTCACTATGGCCTGCATTTTCAAAAATTATAGACATTTTAGGTGTAAAATGTCTTAGAGGCCTAATACCGAGTATGTGCTGACTACCCAACTTTTGAAAAGCAGGTGAAGCACTCAAAATCATTAGTCACTTTGAAAACACATTAACACGTGTGCTGTGAGCAAGACATGAGAAGTCATTCTTCCGCTCTACTCTGTGCTGATTAGGCCTCAGTTGGAGTATAGTGTCCAGTTCTGGGCACCACATTTCAGAAAAGACGTGGAGAAATTGGAGAAGGTCCAGAGAAGAGCAACACGAATGATTAAAGACATGACTTATGAAGGAAGAATGAAAGAATTGGGCTTGTTTAGTTTCGAAAAAAGAAGATTAAGAGGGGACATTATAGTGGTTTTCAGGTATCTAAAAGGGTGTCACAAAGGGGAGGGAGAAAAATTGTTCTCCTTGGCCTCTGAAGATAAAACAAGAAGCAATGGGTACAAACTGTAGCTAGGAGGTTTAGGTTGGACATTAGGGAAAAACTACCTAACTGTCAGGGTGGCTAAACACTGGAATAAGTTGCCTAGGGAGGCTGTGGAATCTCCATCTCTGGAGATATTTAAGAGCAGGTTAGATAAATGTCTATCAAGGAATGGTGTAGACAGTACTAGGTCCTGCCATGAGGGCAGGGGACTGGACTCGACTTCTCGAGGTCCCTTCCAGTTCTAGTATTCTCTGATTATGTGAAAATGTAGGGCTACATTGTCAGTGGCTGCTAAGAGACAAATGAATAAACTTGGTGGTAGGACTGAGAGATCTTGTCTAGATGGAATAAGTGCTTTGCAAGCTGGTCCATTCCTCAGTCTTTCACTGGCTGTAAGAGCATAACAACCGAACATTATGTGGTAACGTTGTTGAGACCCATTCCCTAAAGTGATACTGACAAGGTAGACTGAATAGATTGATTGTGCCCACGAAAGCTCATGATACCATCTACATGTTTTGTTAGTCTATAAAGTGCTACCAGGCCATTTGCTTGCTGTTTTTTTTTCTGTAACAGACTAACTCAGCTACCCCCTGAAGCTCCTGAATAGATTGAGAGATTCCTATATGAGTTGTGCAGAAACAGAAAAAACCATTAAATACTGTAGTAAGATTTAGGGTTTATCAAACCTTTTAGCTAATTTTGTAGTAACTAACACAGGGCTACTCAACTTTGGAAGCCCCGGGGGCCTCAATGATACTCTCAGCACATGCCAAGGGCCACAACTTAAATGTGGTTGCATATACTTGCAAATATATATGCAAATAGCTTCTTTCACACTGACGGGCATGAATACAAAGATTAAGGCAAGACTACACAACACACAGGCCCCATTTAAGTCAGTTCTTCTGATATTAATAAAATGCAATATTTACCTGATTTCCACCCATATGACAGCACTTTTAATGAGCAATGACAGCAGAGGAATTTAACTACTAAAACACATATCAAGAGAAGATAATTATATTGACTACTTTTTTGTTTTGGTTCGCACTTGCAGGCCACAAACAAATGGACTGAGTAGCCCAGCACTAATATATTGACTTAATTTATAGCACATAGTGGATATTGCAGGTACATGGTGTTTATTAGGTGCTTATAATTTATAGCACATATAGTGGATATGGCAGGTACATGGTGTTTATTAGGTGCTTCGTATACCTAAAATGTATATGTAAAATATCACTGCTAGCTAATGTAAAAATGTTGTAAAGCTAACAGGTCTAAATTATTCTTGTCCTATGATAGAGTTAAAAGAAAGCCCGTGAACAGCATAAATACGAATGTGGGCGTACATGGATATATTCACCTTCTTCACTAAACCAAAGTTATAGTGTTAGGCAATTTAATATATTTGGAAGATTGCCTATTGAACTCACAGGAGAATTTTTGACACAACTCTTATGATCCTTAGTCCCAAAAGCACAAACAAGCTTATACCTAAAAATAAGACTTTTTGTAAAGTTTATTATATTATTTTATATATGTATTTAATATGAAACAATATTTAGAATTAAACATTCACAATGATTGCTAATTTTTCAAGAAAATAGATACTTAATAGCACTTAACCTCTCCATAAATCTTGCAGTCACCAGAAGGTTTATGGCTGCCCATGGCATTTTGATTCTGCTTCTTTATGCAACTATTCTGTGCTCAGAGTAAGACAGTAGTTATGTGGAAGACATAATATTTGACCATCTAATTAAAGACTGTGTCATAATGCAAGTAAATAAGGTACCACAATTAAGTCACTCTTAATCTGGCATTTCCTAACTTAACTAGTGCTTAACTTTTAACATAAATAAAATGGGGTGGCAGTTTGTATGCAATTTTCTATGGTATTTTAAATGAAAAATTATACATTTTATTAAGTACGATTGTAACTTTTCCTGAGGAACAAAAGTGAGAGGATATGGTAATTATTAACAGTTTGTGTATCAGCAAAAGCTGACTGGAATTTCATGGGGGGAGGGGAGGGGAAGGACACTTCTCTACAGCATTTCCCCCATGGCCTTCTGCAAATAATGACTTTTCAAATAAAAGTTCACAAGACCATTTATTGAAGAATGTAGTAAGCATACAGTAATTCCTTGCTTATTTATGTTCCTGAAAAATGCTATGTTAAGTGAATTCAATTTCCCCATGAGAATTAATGTAAATATGGGGGCTTAGGTTTCAGCAGACAAAAGGCAGTATATAGAACCATAGAACTGGAAGAGACCTCAGGAGGCCATCAAGTCCAGCTCCCTGCCCAATCCCAAAGGCAGGACCAATCCCAACAAAATCAACCCAACCAGGGCTTTGTCAAGCCGAGACTTAAACACCTCTAGGGATGGAGATTCCACCACCTCCCTAGGTAACCCATTCCAGTGCTTCACCACCCTCCTAGTGAAATAGTTTTTCCTAATATCCAACCTAGACCTCCCCCACTGTAACTTGAGACCATTGATCCTTGTTCTGCTATCCATCACTACTGTGAACAGCCTTTCTCCATCCTCTTTGGAACATCCCTTCAGGAAGTTAAAGGCTGCTATCAAATCCCCCCTCACTCTTCTTTTCTGCAGACTAAAAAAACCCAAGTCCCTCAGTCTTTCCTCATAGGTCATGTGCTTCAGCCCCCTAATCATTTTGGTCGCCCTCCGCTGGACCCTCTGCAATACGTCCACATCTTTTCTATAGTGGGGGGCCCAGAACTGGACACAGTATTCCAGATGTGGCCTCACCAGAGCAGAATAAAGGGGAATAATCACTTCTCTAGATCTGCTGGCAATGCTCCCCCTAATGCACCCTAATATGCATTAGCCTTCTTGGCTACAAGGGCACACTGTTGACTTATATCCAGCTTCCCATCAACTGTAATACCCAAGTCCTTTTCTGCTGAACTGCTACTTAGCCATTCGGTCCCCAGCCTGTAACAATGCTTGGGATTCTTCCGTCCCAAGTGCAGGACTCTGCATTTTTCCTTATTGAATCTCAGATTCCTTTTGGCCCAATCCTCTAATCTGTCCAGGTCACTCTGGACCCTATCCCTGCCCTCCAACATATCTACCTCTCTCCCTAGCTTATTGTCATTTGCAAACTTGCTGAGGGTGCAATCCATATCCTCATCCCAGTCATTAATGAAGATGTTGAATAAAACTGGCCAATCCTTGGGGCACTCTACTTGAAACCAACCATCAGCCTGACATAGAACCATTGATCACTACCCGTTGAGCCTGACAATATAGCCAGCTTTCTATTCACCTTACAGTCCATTTATCCAATCCATATTTGGATAAATGGCAAGAATACAGTGGGAGACCGTATCAATAGCAGGGTATATCATATGGGTTACCTAGGGAGTTTTCCATATCCACAGAGCCAGTTACCTCATTATAGAAGCTAATCAGATTGGTCAGGCATGACTTGTCCTTGGTGAATCCATGTTGACTATTCCTGATCACTTTCCCCTCTTCCAAGTGCTTCAAAATGGATTCCTTGAGGATCCCCTCCATGATTTTTCTGGGGACTGAGGTACGGCCGTCTGGTCTGTAGTTCCCTGGATTGTCCTTCTTCCCTTTTTAAAAGATGGGCACTACATTTGCCTTTTTCCAATCATCCGGGATCTCTCCTGATCTCCACGACTTTTCAAAGATAATGGCCAAAGGCTCCGCAATGACATTTGCCAACTCCCTCAGGACCCTTGGATGCTTTAAATCCAGACCAATGGATTTGTGTATGTTTAGCTTTTCTAAATAGTTCCTAACTT